GACATTCGCAGCGAAGTTTAAGAAAATTAAGACCGCTTGGAAAGGTCCCGATCGGTATTCGAGGCTCCAGAGGGCACGCAAGCCAAGCATTAGAGCACAGAACAGGACATGTAATTTAATAATCAGTTTTAAAGTCTTCTAATGACCCTTGGCTTTATTCGACAAATTATATCATAGATCCAAATGACCACGTCATTATGCACAAATGCACGGCCACTCGCTGATTCGACAATAGTGTGTTGCACAGTTACTGTGGCCAATGAGGGTAGCCATCATGGGCCCGCACCCGTGCCAGAAATATCACTGAAATGAGTGAAGTGCTCGAAAAAAAATTTGAATAAAACAGTGCTCAACACTCAGACGCAATCGTGACGTCCCATATTTCCGGCATGCCATCCTTCCTCTGCCTAGTATCCAGCACTCTTCGGCACGAGAGAAGAGATAAAGTAGAGCGTGTTGCCAATCTCTGCTACTCCTTTCCTACTTCACAGTTTTTGAAAAATATTTCAGCGGCCGATGGATGAGTCAATAGACATCTTCAGTGAAGCAATTGAATACTTCCGTGAAAAGTAATTCTAAGGGAATATCTCAATTAAACAATCACTCATTTGCTGATTGACAAGTTTTTACACAGGAGATCAATGTACGCATTCGATCTGCCACGCAATAATACATGCGTAAAAAGAGACTCTTACGAATATGTGTCATTTATCAGAATATTCTTTTGCGATGTATTTTCAGGCAATGGAGTGCATCTCTTGTGGGTCCCCTCCTTGGCAAGCAGGAGGGCTCATATCGATAACCACTTGAAAAAAAAACTAAATTTTTATTTCACTAGTATATCTGCCGTTTTTTCGCCATCACGCAACGTTTATTTTTTATTCCAAAGGTAAAGATGCCTATGCTGTCATTTACAGAAAATGAATTGTTTTATGATTCTGTGTTAAAAATAACGTCACAATCTTTTCTGGTGTAATTGAAAACATCTTTTAACGTAGGAAAATATAATCAGTAGAGCACCCCGATGACTTACGAGAATTTCTTACCGAACTGGCATGCATAGCGAACGTTTAGAAATGCTAAAGGAATTTGCGTGATTAGTACTGCACAAATCTGAAAACTAGATTTCTAGGAAATCACACTACGCCGTATTAGGTGAGTTGTTGGATGATAACTTTCAAAGTACTTATGTCTGAGAACATTGCGGAATGGTAGGGCATATTCATGAAACTTTGAGCAACAGCCACGCAAGCTACTTTGTTTCAATAAAAAAAGATGGGATAAAATTGAAAGGGACGAGGACAGAGAAAGAGAGAGTGAATGCAAGGATTCTTACGTTTGGAACCTATATAAAACGAGACTCGTCATACAAGTGAAGTCAAACTTTCTGCCTTTCTGGTTACTTGCTTCGCTGTCGTTCACAAATACTACACTTCCACTATCTCATTACAACAAGCTCGTATTACAGCTTCTTTTTTGCGAAAACATTGCCTTTAGCATTCGAAGTTGAAATTCACCAAAAAGTTCATTTCTTTCACATCAAAAGGCAATATCCAAATGGGACTGCACCTTAAGGTACTATTATCACTAGATGCGCCTTCAGTGCCAATGCGTCAAAATGAGTCTCGAGCGGCCTTTACCATATAATAATTATTTATCGAAAAATTACGCATATTCTGCTGCGCTTCAAGTTAATGGAGATCATAAGGTGTTCTGTCATCGCACAGCTTCAAATACATGTGAACTAAGTGCTGTTATGAAGACACGTTTCTTTTTTTATAAATTACGCAGGTATTCAAGGACACCCTCAAAATTTCACTCTATGTTTTTATAGCCACGTCCTCATGTCATAAATATTCTGAATGGTGAAATACAATCCGAGTAGATTATTATATTACCCTGTTGCTATCATTCAGTTACTGACTTTCATAAAGTATATGAAGAAAGCGAACGAGAGAAGTTCTGACTTGTTGCCAATATGAATGCTAATACAAGATATATATATATATATACATATATATATATATATATATATATATATATATATATATATATATATATATATATATATTGGTACGGGATATGGCACAACGGGAGTGTTGTCAACAACGACAAATATATTTCCCAACAGTTTCAGGAGGGGTCCTCCCTTCATCAGGGAATGACTTATACAGACATAAATTTCCAAACTTCGTTGCTGCCGCGTCCCTCTCGCCTTGAAACATGTTTGCGAGAGTGAGAGGAAACTAGAAAAAAAGGGGGGAGAGAAAAAAAAGAAAACGAAAGAAAAGAAAGAAAGTAAAAAAGAGGAAGAACCACTGTCAACACTGAGAACGAAACCAACTGTCCGTGTACGTCGACATACGTTTCTTATCATGTGCTGTTCAGTTCTCGACGTGTGTCGGGCCCCCCAAGATTGTCGCCGCGGTGCCGGGAGGGTCCGTGACCGCGTGCGTAAAGAAAGGGTTTCCACGTAATGGGTTGGTCGGCGGGCGGCGTGCGTAAAGGAAGGGTCTCCCATTAATGGGTCGGTCGGCTCTTTTTACCTTTAATCTTCGTCTGTTTCCCTTCAATGGTCCTCAAGTGGTAGGCGAACGAAAACACTTTGTATGTGCATGTGGAAAAAAAGGAAGAAAAGAAAAAGTGAATGAAGAAAATTCGAAAACAAGAATGGACAGTGTATACGTACGAGTCAGTCAGAAAAAACCATGGTCTCCTGCTATCAATCTTTGTCACCAATTTCCTCCTGGCTTACTTCTCGGAGGTAGTTGAGTTTACCGGGGTCCTCGTTGATGCCGGCTACTAATGTTCGAAATTTGAAAATAAAATATGCCTCACGCTGTTCGCGCTCGCGTCTGTTTGAGAAACCGGACTGCAAAAGAGTTACGCTGATATTTTCAAAACTGTGGTTTGGCAGGCGCAGATGTCTAGATGAAGTTAGCTTCGGCAGTGAAGTGGCGTGGTACCGGTAAATATTGAACCGCAGCCGAAATGGCGTGTCTGTTTGGCCGATATATTCTTGTCCGCAGATGTTGCAATGTAGCATGTATATTACGTTACTGGAGTCACAATTAAGGCTTTCAGTTATGCAGACTTTGAAATCCGAGAAGTTCGCTTTGGATTCCTGTGTTGTGACCATCTGTGGGCATACCTTGCATCGAGCTTTTCCGCAGGGATGGCACCTTGATTGAAATTTGGGTGTGGTTGTTTTTGCTCTGACATGAATGTCCTTCAGATTTTTATCCCGGCGGTACTTTTTGGACGTCACTGTCACGGTCGAAAATGACCGCTTGTCAACAAACCTTTACAAAAAGCCTACAGACCGTCAAATGTACCTGCATTTCAACAGCAGCCACACAAAGCATTGCAAAACGGGTATATTATATTTTCAGGCCTACCGGTACCGAAGAATATGCACAGATATGCGGGAATTTGAGAGACACGCGGTACACCTAAAGCATTCCTTATTGAAACAAAATTATCCGGAAGACATTATTGACGATGCCATACTACGTGCACGCAACGTGAACAGGAATGATATTATTAAGGGACCAAACAGAGTATCTAAAACGACTTCCCGAACGAACCTTGTACTAACTTACTCCTCATCAGCGCCACGAATCAACAACATACTGTCCCGTCATTTCAATATAATCAGGCAAAGCAAACGACTAACTTCTATCTTCGCGAAGCCACCTCACGTGGTGTACCGCCGGGATAAAAATCTGAAGGACATTCTTGTCAGAGCAAAAACAACCACCCCCAAATTTCAATCAGAGTGCCATCCCTGCGGAAAAGCTCGATGCAAGGTATGCCCACAGGTGGTCACAACACAGGAATCCAAAGCGAACTTCTCGGATTTCAAAGTCTGCATATCTGAAAGCCTTAATTGTGACTCCAAAAACGTAATATACATGCTACATTGCAACATCTGCGGACAAGAATATATCGGCCAAACAGACACGCCATTTCGGATGCGGTTCAATAATCACCGGTACCACGCCACTTCACTGCCGAAGCTACCTTTATCTAGACATCTGCGCCTGCGAAATCACAGTTTTGAAAATATCAGCGTAACTCTTTTGCAATCCGGTTTCTCAAACAGACGCGAGCGCGAACAGCTGAGGCATATTTTATTTTCAAATTTCGAACATTAGTAGCCGGCATCAACGAGGACCCCGGTAAACTCAACTACCTCCGAGAAGTAAGCCAGGAGGAAATTGGTGACAAAACTTGATAGCTGGAGACCACGCTTTTTTCTAACTGACTCGTACGTGTACACTGTCCATTCTTGTTTTCGTTTTTTCTTCATTCACTTTTTCTTTTCTTCCCTTTTTTCCATATGCACATACAAAGTGTTTTCGTTCGCCTACCACTTGATGACCATTGAAGGGAAACGGACGAAGATTAAAGGTAAAAAAAGCCGACCGACCTATTAACGGGAGACCCTTCCTTTACGCACGCCGCCCGCCGTCCAACCCCTTACGGGGAAAGTCTTTCTTTACGCACGCCGTCACGGACCCTCCCGGCACCGCGGCGACAATCTTGGGTGGCCCGACACACGTCGAGAACTGAACAGCACGTGATAAGCAACGTATGTCGACGTACACGGACAGTTGGTTGCGTTCTCAGTGTTGGCAGTGTTTCTTCCTCTTTTTTACTTTCTTTCTTTTCTTTCTTTTTCTTTTTTTTCTCCTCCCCTTTTTTTCTACTTTCCTCTCACTCTCGCAAACATGTTTTAAGGCGAGAGGGACGCAGCAGAAACGAAGTTTGGAAATTCTTGTCAGTATAAGTCATCCCCTGATGAAGGAAGGATCCCTCCCAAAACTGTTGGGAAATAAATATATTTATCCTTGCTTGTTGACAACGCTCCCGTTGTGCCATATCCCATACCTTCACAAAGACTAACTGGCCAATTGAATTATTACTCCCACTATATATATATATATATATATATATATTTATATATATATATATATATATATATATATATAACTTACCTTGATTAACGTTGCATGGGCAAAAGTTATAATACACGTTAGAAAGAGTCCTTGGTGAACATTGATCACCACGTACTCCTAACGGTTTACATAGTCCAGGCCTCAAATTGATTTCAACACAACATGTCCCTTCTGCACAGATTGTCCGCCTGCCGCACATCTGGTCCTTGAGCCTAAGCTTTAGTGACGGTGAAAGGAAAATAACGGAACAGAAAAACTAGAATACATGCTCGACTCAAGTGTTTGTTTGCTGACATACAGTATTGGTGATAAGCCCAATAATAAACACGCATCATAGTGTCTATTCATCAAAAGGATACGTTCAGTGTTTTAAATGCGAAGCATTTCTTAGCAAACTACAGTGAATTGGAGCGTTTCTATGTATATACTTATGTATAGAATTATCTACTTATCTCAATATCTATATATATATTCATATATCTATCTATCTATCTAACCTAAATTAACATGGGAGGGTAAGATGCTTTGACGAATATGACGCGCTGGACAAGGCATCAATATTGCCACAATCCCGTGCCGTACATCGTCAAACACTTGCCACCAGACAGTGGCACATACCCACGGGCGAGTTTGTGCAGCTGGTACGAGGGTATGGTGATTGACCCCAGAAAAAACGAGAAGATACACGGGCAATTTAACGTGCGAGGGCCTTAAATTTCATATCTTCAATTCTTCGCTATTCGCCCTGAGTGGGCAACAGCCATAGTGAAGGCATTATCCTCGCCATCATCAATGCGCGAGGGTTAAGAAATCCCCAACATCAATAGCGTCGACCCGACGATATGCAAAAAATAATTTTCAGGGTTCCAGCTGGAATATAACCCAAGCATTCTGCGTGGCAATGAAGCATTTTACCACAGAGCTATGCCAGGTCTCGGAACTAGTTTACAGATAAACGCTAATCTTCGTGAAACATCAGTCGTGGTTGCAGTGCTTCCTACCCAATTTCATAAACATTACATAACTACTCCTTTGATACCGCCGTCACGTCAGATTAATGTTAATTGTGGTTAGTTGCTATAAGTTGAAGTTGATTTATGTAGGAGTGCCCAGGGCCAGCATCCTCGCGAGCATCAGCGCTTCATATGAGCTTCTGGTGTTGTTAATGCACACGTTTCATTTGGCATCGTTGTGTAAGTGCGAACAACTGGTTATTTAAACATCTGCAACTCTTCAACATATGTCTGTGCGTGCAACATTTTTACGTATATTTAGCGTCATTTCATGACGTGTCACTAAATAAAGAAAATGCAACGCGGTCACCTTCCCTTCGCATGCCAGGCAGCATACGCGGGAACCTTCCACCGCTGGATCAGAGTGGAGGAAGAGAAGATTTACGCCGCCATCAGAAAGGCCTACAGGAACGCCCTGGGTCTACTGCTAGGCAGGAGAACGTCGACCTTGCTGGCTCAGGGGGTGCACAAAACACTCACAGAGATCGACAAGGCCCAACGAATGGCACAGCTAGCTCAACTAAACAGCACAAAGGCAGACAGAAGCATCCTGGAGAGAGTGGGAATCAAGCCGCCCACTCATGTAGGTTCGGAAGACAACGAACTTGAGAGCCAGGTCCCCCTGAGGGATGAAACGGCAAGGGGCATCATAGTGTTCCCGTTGTCAAAAACATGAACCCGGAGAAGGACTTGGCAAGACACAAGATGAGAGCAGTTGCCCTAGCTAAGCAGTACAAGAGTGACGCGAATGCCGCGTTCGTCTACGTGGCTAAACATTCATTGAGGAGATGTGTGTACGCGATGGCAGTCATCCGGGCGTCAACGGGTGAGCTGATCGAAGTGGGTACGATTAAAGCGAAGACCCCATGCCAGGCAGAAGAGGTAGCAATCGGCCTGCCGATGGGAGTACAGGGCATTCGGATGATCCTGAGCGACCCCAAAACAGCGGTCAAGAACTACGCGAGAAGCACGGTCTGGAGGGAGGCTGAGCGGATCGTGGGGCTCGCTAGAGCCTCGCGAACCTCGGAACGTCGTCACCTCCAACCATCACCATAAAGAGGTTCCTAGCCCACAAGGGCGACCTACTGAACGTGAACAACCGCCACGAGGATGCAGACGCAGCGGCCTGAGAACTCATCAGGTGCCGGGATGACAGCGAGAGCATCCCACGGGTTGTCGGCGATGAACAAGACCCCAAACCCCTTGTCGACTACGGTGCGATACTCAGGACGCACAGGGAAGGAAGAAGAAAATGCATGGCCCTGCATCGAGAACTTTCCCGAGCGGAGTTTACGTTGCTTCGTCAGCTACAAGTGAAGTGCGTGTTAACCCTGGCGATGGCGCTCCACATATGTCCCGAGATGTTCGCAAGGCCGGCATGCAGTATATGCGAACAAGAACTGGCAACACAAGGACACATGGTGAGGTGTGACAGTGCAGCGATACCAGGCGGCGGTTTGTGCGACGGTGCCGATGGTGATGTGTGCAGCAGGGCTGCAGAATCTCATGGGGGAGTAACTGGTGCCAACGACAGCTCTGCCCGCCAAGAGCTTCCAGTGCAGATGAAGTGGTGGATTCGCTCGGAGGACTGCCAATTTCGGAAATGGGCGATCCAGCGGCTCGAGGGGGCCCTGGTCAGGCAGAGGAGAACGGGAGTTCGTGACCGATAAGCGCGGGGCGCGGGAACCCAAGTATCCTCTGTCAGGTCAGGATGAACCCTCGTGTACTTGGACCAGAGTTTCTAAGACTGCATAGACTAGAACATTAGAAAGGTAGATCACGCCCTGCAAGGCCGGCACCTATCCCACACAGGATCCTGTGAATAACGTCTTTCTCTCTCTCTCTCTCTCTCTTTCCGCATGCTTCGCATAACGTCGACGACTGCTAGGTACGTGAAATCTGCCGAATTTTTTTAGCTCCACAGCTTTTAAGAGTAGTGTGACGGCGATAAAACTAATAAATGAAGCTAACACTTGATTTCTTAAAGATAAACACTTTACGAACTTTAGTTAGTGATCTAGCAAACGAGACTATTTGTGCGTGTATTTAGGAACGTGACGCAGTCAAGAAGCACGTGGGTCGACTCTGCGGACCTTATCCCTGTACAGGACGTGACACATAGACCTTTGATTCCAGAAAAATATACGAGCCTCTCTTCTATCGGAGAAAAACACCCAAACGAAGCATTTTATGTGCGTAACTGGCTACCAATTTCATTTCATTCTTTATTTTTTCAACATTAGGCAACTGTACCTTAACAATTTTTTTCTTCTTGCACGCAAATAGAACACCTGCTAGGTAGGGACATATTTCTGTTTTTATGCGCCACAACCATCGTCAGTTCATATCCATGCAGCGCTAAAGTCAGCCAGCGTAAAATGTCGAGCGGGCTCTACAGAAGGTAAGTCTTTCATGACTGACGCGGCTGAATTCATTTGAAGATGACGCATACGGACTAACGTGGGAACGGCACATATTCAAGAGTAACTTTTAGTGCGTGCACGTTCTCGCAAGACGCATTTAGAATGGGAAAATTTGAGAAATGAAGCACTTTTATACGTGCCCTATGGATCTTAACTTTCCCAATTGAGTGCACCTAGATGTTCTCTTCTTGTCTCGAAAAGTTTTAACGCTTATTATAGTATTTTCAGGCACAACGCATCTCAGTAAGAGTTTTCACGTTCAAGTACTGGCGATGATATTTTAAACTATTTGAGAAGAAAATTTCAGTGAGGCCTTATTAAGCAAGATTCGAAAATTGCGACTTAGGTTGTCCTAAGAAGTCAAACAATCTCTCTTACAAAAAAAATTTAGTGTGCTAACCGTGTTTTGAAGTCATGTTTGCTCCGCTTTAGACAGCTTGTTTCCTTTGAACCTCCGGACTGAGGGCTACCGGCCAGCCGGAGCCGTAATTAGGAACGCAGAGACAACAAAAACGAATATTATTAGTGGTCATTGTGTGGTCGCAAGCGCGCTTTCTCAGTGAGCACGAGCCCTCCATGTATGTTCGTGCCCCTTGCTGGCATTCATGCTGTTCTCATCTTGCTGGAAGCAACTTGGCGACTCGACAAATGTTGCTTCTTCATTGGTTTAATTTGGTGTGCGAACATGGAACCTGTGACAGGTTTGGGTGCGGGCCGTGAGTCTTCGATACGAGATACTGGCACTGTTAGCAAATGGTAACTACGCAGGAGCGCATACCAATGCCTACGGACACCTACAACCAACGTGCCAATAAGCTGAGCTGGAAATTAGTGCGGAAGCACGGGCCTTTGACCCAATGAGTGGCGTACAATTGGTGGTGCTAATGCCATGTTGCTCGCCCGCATAGCAATCTTGTCACCTTTATTTCTATATTCCTATATTCTTTATTTTAAGTAATGGGGTAATACAATAATTGCTTTTCTGCAGCATCAACTTTAGACCTGTATGGTCGTTCTTTGTTTGACTGGTCTTGATCAATATTTCTTGGCACCTAAACGGCACAGTGGATACCAATACTTAAGTAAGGCGAATACTTAGAGTAGTATACTCTTCTAATATTTACAGCATTGTACTTTTTATAAAAATAAATACTTGCCCGTTCACGAGGAATCTTATATTTGTAGAATGCTGAGGCCAACCACAGCTGCAAAAATAACATTATAATCACGAAAAGAAAATACGGACAGGCAGATACTTCAAAAACAATTTTTGCAATTTATTTTTTGTCCAATTTTGCGCAAAATACGCCACTTGATGATTATATACGCTCTCGCATCAAAGTGTGTCCCCTTCCACGAATTATGCATCCGCAGTACAAGGTGGACAGGCGTGTCGCTCTAGCCTCCCAATACGGCGTTTCCCGTCACTTTGCAGTAGTAACTGTAACTACGAAGGGTCGAATTTCATCCTGAACCACTTATTTTGACGGCCACTGCACTAGCGTCTTTCTTGGTGTTGACTATATATATATATATATATATATATATATATATATATATATATATATATATATATATATATATATATATATATATATATATATATATATATTTATATATTGATACGCAACCGCCGGCACAGCCTGTCTGGAAGAAAGAGAAAGACGACGTTGGTGGCTGGTTGTTGATGAACTGTCGCCATCTTGTTCGCCGAGCACAGTGCATCGTATTTAATTTATTAAATACGTTACCCGTAACATTATTGGTGGAGGTGGA